TGATGAAAAGGACATTGAAATAAGAAAAAAAACACCACATAATTTAAAGGAGATTTGAAAACTACAAGATTGGATGAATAAATCCTAAAGCCTACTCTAGTAAAATATCATTTTTCCTATTTTTTCACAAGAGTGAAAAAGTATTTTTTACAATTCCATAATGGACAACAACTAATACCATTTCAGGTATTTCACTTGGAAAAATGAAAATGGGGAAAATTTCAACAGGGAGGCAAGAAAATTAGGAAATCTAAACGAGAAACAGCTATTAATGGTGATACAATGCTTTCTTCAATGGAAATATGGTTGTGTAAAACTAGAAGCAAAAAAAAAAAAAGCAACAGCTATATATACGAATAACTGGCAGGAGATAAAATTGTGATAGCTGATTGTTTACCAAGACAGGATATATAAAAAGAATGTATTTATTTTGTTATGGGGAAAATTCCATTTTTCTTAAATCTTTTACCCTACAAGGATAGCAGAGGTAAGCTTTCATTATAAATATGCGATGAAATGGTAGACTATTATTACAGCTGGGCAATTCTTGTAAGACAGAGGTAGAATGTTGAGTCAGTTTGAAGAGTGAGGGAGAGAAGACAGAAGAGCAATAACTGGTGTATATATAAAAAGAATGGAAATATTGACATCTTTTGTGACAATCATTCTACAGTTCAGTAATACTGTTGTATAGAGAAGACATTTTGTTGATGTACCTTTAAAGATAAAGATTCATTTGGAAATGGGTGGCACCAAAATCAAATCAAATAAATACATTTCCAACACTATCCGATAATACAATGCAACTGTTACATAAACTACAACTGGCCCCACCCTGACCACGTTAAAAAAAATCTTGAAAACTTGGCTCTTCCTCCAGGCTGTGATAGTGGGTATTTATTTTTTAGTAATTGTTTTTTTCTTCTGGAATTTTAGTTTTCAATTGTACTTATTTACTGCATAGCATCAAGATTTAGTGTTGAGTGGTTATGTATGTTTTTAAATAAATATTCATAATTAATTAATGTTGTATAGCTGTCAAGAGCCTTTATACAATTTGATGGCCTTTTAAATTTGACAGATGAAATTTATATAAACTTCACTTCTGAAAAATGAGTCAGAATGTAGAAGTATTCTATCCAGTTTTGTGTCTGTTTCTATGTTGCCAGATAGAAAAGAGATAACCTTGGGATTTTTAGGTTGGTATTATCATTTTTGGATGGTGGTAGCAAGTACAAAATACAATTATTTATCCCCCAAATAAATAGAGAATGAATTATGCAATTACTGATCAAATAAATCAAGTTTCTCCACACCTGCTGAATTATCAGTTCAGTTCAGTTAAATATACATAAATTAAAACAAGCAGGCAGAATTAAATGAATTTTTTTAAATGAAACTCTTCCAAGCTTATATCCTTCCAATCTGTTCTAAATTTCTGGATGTGGAAGATATGACAGAAGCTCTAAGAGGATGTATATTTTGTGTATATTTGTAGATATTGTACTCTCAAATTGCAAATGGAGAGGTGGGTACTCTATTACCTTCATTTTTAAGTGCTTTGGTTTTATTGTATTGCGAACAGTTGCTGGGGTGCATCCAGTTCGTTGTACAATGACAATAAAGTTCTTCTAATTCTAAAAAAGAACAAAGCTCTGTTACCCAAACTGACTTCTGCTTGCATAAAGTTGGACTCAGCTCAACATTGTTAATTCATAATAACCTTTATTTATTGTATGGACAACTTGTATACTGCCTACTCATAATACCTAGTAAGGGAATTAAATCCGAACACTCATTCAGCAATATTAAAATTCATCTTTCATGATAAAAAGGACTTCTCTTATGACCCCTTGTACATGTTCACTTTCCTAAGAGATAAAAATCATGCATTTACCAAAACACCACTCTCTTAGACTAGAGTATAAGAAGGGAAATTTTGTGTTGGTATTTTATAAAATGAAGCACACATGCATTCATTACTTACCATACTGCAATCAGTAAAGAAAGTTAAAGGAAATATCCAAAGCTCCCATGTGACATTTGAAATATTATAATATTGATTTTCCTGACTGTTGATATTAAGACTCTGGTAAGCATATATTGATTAAATCCACTCAGAGCATATCTATTTGGGAATCAATCCCATTAATTTCAGTGTGACTTAGTTTTCAGTATGTGTATGGATGTGTGTGTGTGTGTACACACACACACACACAACTGTACAATTAAGCTGGAGTGGGAAACAGCAGCATCGCTATTCTAGAACTTGTTGAACCATCATGTAACTACTGAAGACAAAGCATTAATTGTGCTCTATCAGAATAACATTTTATTTTATTCATTTATCTAACTTGTTAAGGCCACCCAATTGCAAAAGGACTCTGAGCAGTTTACAAAATATCAAAGATATAATTGAAACCCAATTAAAAAAACAACATAATGAAAAACAACTGCCTGGACAAAATAATTTTAAAATCTCAACAAGGGCTCCACAAGCATCCTAATCTCAAGCTTTGGAGCAATATTCAATAAATTTAGAAAATGCTACAGACACATTAATGTGGTTTGAAATATGTTTAAATAATATTTCATTAAAACACTATTTACTTCAAGATAAAGCACAAGAAATAAAATACATTTATGTTCTCCAGCAGTATTTCTGCATAACACAAGTCTTCATAAAAGAGATCAATCCACATTTTTGTGTACAAGTTGCACAATGGAAATGTGTTCTTAGTATGAAAGGAGAAGCAGTTTGACAGTCAATCCAATAATTAAATGGATTTTTTTTTAAAAAGAACCCTGAAGCTTTTATTACAGTACATGAATATATACTGGTGACATTTGGCTTGATTTTTCCTATGGAAATGCAGAACAGGAAAAGAGACTGTTGCCAAGAAAACATCATAGATATTTTCATGTAGGTACCAAGAATCCAACTTGATCAGAAGGAAAATTCACTTTAGCAGAAAGAAGATACTTACCATATTACATTTTAATCTCACCCTCCCTGTTCAATTCCATGGGATTTCTAAGAAATCATTTGTAATTGCACCCACACAGTAACTTTGCATGATGCCTATTACAAGCCTTAACCTCCCTTTACATACTTGCCATATATACAAAAAATATTTTAATATGTACTTATAAAATCCAAAGTTTAAAAAAAGCCAATCAAGTGAGTTTTACTTTTAACAACAAACCCACCCACCCCTCAAAACCAAAATCTAGAAGTTCCAACTGAACAATAAAAACGTTTGGTTTGGACATCCAAGTAAAACTAGGTGTCTCTGCAAGGTAGTTTTGTTATATGTGATTTGCAAAAAAAGTTGCTTCATTAGATGCAGTCAACAAGACTACTAAGCAAGCGGGTTTTATGCTACATCATAAAATCTATTAAGACATCTTCACGCAAGACTAACAGCAAGCAGCACAAAATGTGCCTTCACACAATACAGGTAGTTCTCAACTTATGACCACAATGGAGCCCACAATCTATGTTGTTAAGTGAGACTGTTCAGTCAGTTTTGCCCCATTTTACCACCTTTCTTACCACAGTTTGTTAAGTGAATCACTGCAGTTGTTAAATTAGTAACCCGGTTGTTAAGCGATCTGGCTTTCCCATTGACTCTGCTTGTCAGGTCACAGAAGGGGATCGCATATCTTGGGACACAACAGTTATAAATATGAACCAGTTGCCAAGCATGGGCTGCAAAGGTTGCAACTGTGAAAAAACGGTCAACAGTCATCTTTTTTTTTTTTTTTTCAGTACAGTTGTAACTTTGAACTGAGGACTACCTGTATTGATTTGTAAAATCGATTTATTAACATGCTTGCCTTGGCTTCTTTTATTTAGTTATTTATTGAATTTATATTGCCTCCAATTAAAAAATTGTCTTGTTTTGATACAGTTGGGTTTTATTTTAAAAAAGCACAGTACTGCAGAATAAACTCTTTAGTATGCTTGACAAAAGTCATTAGGACTGCAAGCCCCGGCTCTGACAGAGGAAGCATTATTGGTGCTTTGTTGTATCGAGGTCATCTCCCCAATCCCACATTAAGTCATCCACACCTATCAATCAATCAATGCAGCAGCTACGGAATGCCACAGGCACTTCAGAAGTAGCAGCGAGAGGAACAGCCATGGTCCTGACAATTTTGCATCCCTGTTACTTGGGGGGGGGGGCAGAGCTTCACAAGTGGTTACTAAACAGCTCGAGACCTGAGGTACGAATTTTGGCGAAACTCAGGGTCCAAAGGCTAGACGGCCGACAGGGGGCGCCACAGCCACCATGTGGGGACGAGGCGCCGCAAAGCGGCGGGGCGCCGCGCGGTGCGGGGGGGGAGGGGAAAAGCCCAACGAAGACGCGCAAAACTCTTTGCCAGGTCAAACTCCCCGCAGTGTTCAGCCCCGCCCCACACGCAGACGCTCAAGTAACGCACACACACATACCGCACCGCCCCTAGCCCTCCCTCCCTTCCCCCCCCACCTCCCGGTTGCCCGTTACCATTATTACCCATGACGCCCAGCGCAGCGCCGCCATCCTGCCTCCGGTCAGCTCCCACGGGAACGAGGGCTGACCTCGCGAGAACTCCCATCTCCACCCGCCCAGCCTCCTTTTGAGCATTAACATGGCAGAGGCGGCGCGCACGTGTCCGTCGACTCCCGGATACAACAAGCGGCCCCCGTAACGTGCTCGTCCGTGCACGGAGGAGTGGTCCGGGTCGAGGGGAGGGGAGGGAAAGGAGAGTACCTTACCTGACGTCACGCGCAGATGCCCCCTCCTTTCCTTTCGGATTCGAACAGGCGCGCGAGTCGCGGCTTCCCCCCCCTCCTCCTCCTCCCCCCTCCTTTTCCGCACGCGCAGATCGCACTGGAATATAATCCTCCCGCCGCCTGTTCTTCAGCGCCCCCCCTTGCCCGTCCTGTAATGAGACCCCATCCGGGTCTTTTTGCCCCCCCTCCCCGCGGCCCCTAAGGGGGAGGGGGGGCTGACCTGGTTACTGTGAGATCAAAAGGAGATTCCGTCGGTGTCGTAACGGACCTTTTTTTCTCTCGGTTCTCAGAGCCAGCCGTCCGCGCCACACGTCAGCGTTTTCCCGCCCCCCCCCCACAACTACAGCACCCGCTGAGCTCCCCTCAGCGGCGGCGGCGGCGGCAGCGGCAGCTCCTCTTCCGCTTCCTTCCCTCCCCATATTCCCTGCGCAGCCCGCGGAAGGGTGGGGGGGCACTCCCTGCAGCTCCGCCTGCTGGTTGACTGAGGAAAGTGACGGGGCCGCCCTGAAGAGGACGGAGAATTTGAGGAGCCGCGGAGAGGCGGCGGGGTCTTCTCTCCGGTTTCCCTGCTCCGCTTCTCTCCTCGGAGAACAGCCGCGCGAGAACCAACCGGCCTGGAGAGCGCTGCAGGTCCGGTCCCTTGCCCTGGTGGGGAATGGAGGAGCCGAAGTCCGGGTTTCTGCCGGCGAGTTCTCGCTAAGTGACTCCCCCTTTTCAGATTTATATACTGCTGTAAACCAGCCGGCCTTAAAAGCCTTTTCTAGCCTGGCTGGGAATTATGGGCCTGGATGGCTTCAGATCGGGGAACCCAGGTAGCCAATACAGGTAGTCCTCGACTTACAAGAATTCACTTAGTGACCGTTCGAAGTTACAACGGTGCTGAGTAAAGTGACTTAATGACCGTTTTACACAGTTGCGTTCTTTGCAGTACACAACCCCCCCAACCCCCCCACGGTATGTGATCAAAATTCAGCCGCTTGGCAACTGGTTCAAATTTATGAGGGTTGCTGGGGTGCCGGGATCATGCGATCACCTTTTGTGACCTGACAAGCAAAAATGGGAAAGCCGGATTCACGTAACAACCTGGTTGCTAACTTAAGTGATTCACTTAACAACTGTGACAAGCAATGTCTTAAAATGGGGCAGAAATTTTGGCCTCCATTGTCATAAGTTGAGGACTACCTGTATATATGTTATTGTGGCTCTTCTTTCGGTGTAGCGTTTAATATAAATATCAAAATAACAATTTAAGTTTTGTTTTTTATTGTAACATTGAAGGGACTCTTGAAAAATAAAACAAATGTAGGTAAATTAAGGAATACCCATCCTAAATAGATATGATTTGACTTGCAGAAAATACTTGGGCAGAATAAGCTGGTATGATCACCAGTTGGCAAACTGCGGGCATCCCAAAACCTTTTGAATATTTATTCATGTAATCATGAATATTTATCTCTGCAAGATAATATTGGAATACAAGAATATACACTTAAAAAAGAAACCGTGAATACAGTATTGAACTGCTTTTGATTCCAAGTATAGTATGGCAAGTTTGAATACATAATACCTTTTGAATTGGGTAATTGTCCCATAGTCTTTTCTGGATTCATGAAATAAATCATTTCTGATATTTATCACATTTAGAAACTTCCCATCTTCCTCACAGAATGAGTCTGGAAAGTATGGAAGGCATAAAAACAACATCTATATATAAATATTTCAAATTTGGAATTTCATATTTTTGACAAATGTAGTTATGTACTTGAATTTTAGAAGATCCTTTTTTGCACAAGACCTATATTAAGAGTGTTTTAGAGACAAGCTTTTTGCCTAAACTAAAAAATGATTTTCCAATCCCTCTTTCCTGCACAGTGGAAAGTGGAAATCATGATGTCATACATCATATACTTCTTTGCTTGAGTATAGCATTTTAATAATTTATATAAAAATCAATATTGTGTTGTATAACTGCTTAAATAGTTTTATTTGGGGGGGAGGGGATAGCAGTTGTTGCAATGTAGATATATTGTAGTACAATGCTTAATAGTCATAGCCAGCATGAGCAAAGTTTTGTGTTGTATTCCAGCACACCTGAAAAAATCCTGTTGGAGAAGATTACAGTCTCGGCCTATAAAAAAGAAAACCCAACATTAACTTTTCACAGCCTCAAAATGATCAGATGTAGCATGGAGGATTCTGTACTTTCATCTTCTTGCATGAACAGTGAATAAAAATATTAAAAAGTGCACATAATTCTAAAGTAAATACTTTCCTTCCAAGCTTTATATATACTTATAGTCTACTTCTTGGCTATTAAAAATTCATGTTATTTCATATTGATGTTTGAGTTATATTTACTGAGCCAAAAACTTGAAACTATATATATTTACTTGAATTTACTGAACTCAGCAAAGCTTCCAAGTGAATTCAAGAAAAGCAATGTGACATTAATGCAAACTCTACAAAGGAAAATTATGCAAAAAGTGCTGTGTTGGTTAATTATTTTTAGTTACAAGCCATCTGTTTTGTGAAACTCCAATCTTTTACTTCATAGAGAATGCCTGCCCAAGTATTGCCTTCTAAGAAACTTCCAAGAATAAGACAAATATTTTTTTAGAATCATAGTATGTTGGAAGGTAATGTAGATATATATACCTGTTTTAGAAATTCTATGTTGCAGCATCTCTGAAATATGGTAATTCTGCCTGTCTTTAAATAACTTTTGCAAAAAAAGATTACAGTACTCCATTCCACATTCCATTATTAGGAATTTTCTTCTGATATCCAACCAATATTGACTACCTTGTAACTTAAAATCCCTTGGATTATCCAGACCTATTTCAGTTGGTTTCAGACCAGGGTGTAGTATGGAGATTACCTTGATTGTATTTGTCAATCTGGAATAGGTTGGTACATCCACCCTTGTGCTTCTTGCATTTCCCCCCCCCCCCCCCCCCCCAAAAAAAAAACTGCAATAAAAGTGGAGTTCCAACAAAGGAGCCATTTGTCAGAGAGAGAGAAATCTACTAGTGGAAGTATGCAGAATTTGGAATACTTGTAAAAACACAATCCATCACATCTGGTTAGATCGACTAGAACCATTTTTTCTCCTGTTTCAGTCTTTATATCATACATATCACCGAACAAACTATAATAAATGCACTATCACATAAACCTGGATATGATCTTCCATACTCATTCCTTCTACTACTAAACAAACGAAGCAACTTTGCCCCTCTTCAATCATTAGAACCCCATAATGGTTGAGGGCATGGAGGAAGGCACTAGATCTGCTCAATTGGATTAGATTGCTGCATAGATAAAAGCTTCAAACTGATTCCTTTTTCTATAAATAATGGATAGTTGCTTCATAGTGGCCAATTATATATTCTTTCAGGAAGGGATATGGCAATTTTGCCATAAGAATAGGACTCCTGGATGTGTTTAAAACTTTGCATCAGGTGTGTAGCAAGTTCTGGTGGCTGAGGGGGAAAGCAGATGACAACCATATTTCATTCTAACAAGTTTGTTGATGGGCAAAGACTTGTATGACTTTCCTCGTGCACTTCATTGCCTTCATTGCCAGGATCTTTAGATTCGGTTTCAGCTGATTTTAGTTCTTTCTCCATGGCTCTGGCAATATAATCTAGGGGCATCCAGAACTGAATCTGACATCAGTTATAGCCATATGTAAAAATTAGTGATACGTTTTCAGTATATGGTGGTACTACTTTGAGCAGATTCAGGCCCAAGTTGTCACTTATTAATGTAACAGTATCTTCTGGGATAGCCTATAAAGATGCTTAAAGTCAACAAATTGTTGTTCCCTTGCATCTGTGGTACCCTTGGGCTGAATGGTTTGGAACCAGGACTGCGGCAGAGTGCTTCTATCTATTCCATTTGTCCCTAAGGTGAAACTTGTCAAACTGGGAAAGCAGTGTTCCATTCTTCAAAGGTTCTGACCACTTCTGATTAGGTCGGGGGGAAAATAGTTGAAAATCTCATTTTTTAAAAAATGACTGAGAATCTCATTTTAAAATATGTACATGGTTTTGAAGGCAATAGTAAGATGAAATCATGTGTAAAACTGCCAGTGTACCCAGGGTTTCATTTTTTTTCTGATCTATTATTTGAAAAGCAGGGAGAAGGATATGTTGCTATGGGAACCAGTTTTGATATAGCATATTATGAAAAAGATACCTAGAATGAAATTAAAGTGTGTATCTGTATCTGTATACAGGCTGCATTGTTCAACAAAACCATATTTTGTGCAGGATTTTTTTTACTATTCTCAACTGACAGGAGGGAGAGAAGGGAAGGGAAAGAAGTTGAATATGGGAGTCCACATTATTTATTATAACAGACTCCTAGTTTTTGTAAGCAAAAGTTTTTGGCCAAATAGAGTGTATGCATCACAATCTTTGTTGAAGTGTAGATGCAAAATGCTATCTATAGTACATCGCATTTATACTTTTGTTTTGAAGATGTTTTTAATATTGCCAATTAGCAAAATATATGACATCAATAAACATCCTACCTTTTGCACAGAACATCCACATTTTCCAGTATAGGCTTAGGCCAGAAATTTTAAGACAAAAAAACCCTTTGCTGTTTGGTGAATAGTGCATTTCAGGAACCGGATTAGGTACAGATTCCAACTGGTTCTTTTGGTCCTTTCAGTAGCGTTACTACCATGGATTATTGTATCTTTCTGAGGCAATGAGCCAATAGGGGATTTTGCTAGAGTAGTTTGGAAAATGTACTTGTGTAATTATTCTACTGTAATCTTATCTGGTTGAGTAAACACAGAAGAGCCTGCTGGAAGACTCAGTTTTAAGGCCATGGCCTCATCAAATCTCTATTTTCTCCATTATCTTTTAAATTTCTTAAATGAAACCGTTAGATAGTTTGGGCATGGCTTCCTTTATGGCAATAATACAGTGTCTCCCACCCTTTATGGGAAGTTTTGCTACACTCTATTTCATTTTCTAAACTAGTTAAGTTCCTTGATTGATTGTAGGAACACTAGTGTAATGCATCTAAATTTCAGCTATGTGTTTTTCAAAGTATTCCATGATTTTCTACTTTGTAAACTAGTGGTTGGTTGGCAAGAAAATTAAATGGATATATAACTGGTTTGAAAATAATATTCAGTATAAACATTGAGTTTCTTATCAAACCAACAGGATATGTCATATGGGTGATGGACAAAAAAGCAGTGGAACTAGCAGAAAGTTCTAACTTCCCAATGGCTTCCCCATTGAGTTTCCTTGTGGGAAGCTGACAGGGAGCATCAGAAATCCTTCCTTCCCTTTCTTTCCTAATAAAGCATTTATCAGGCCCA